CTTTGCCCAGTTAAAATAATATTCCACAACAGGTATGTGTTGCTGTGACAGAAAGCTGACCAGAACACTGAGACATATGACAAGCATATGCTCAAGTTTTTGAGGAGCTGTAAATATCTACCACAAGGCCTTCAATATTTTACATTCATATTAACAGTGTATGAGGGTTCAAGTTTCTCTACACTGTTATGAACATTGATTTTGGTTCGCATTTACTCAGCACCTCTTAGGAGGATAAGTCAAACCATTTCGTGTGACTTGGAATAATGCAATGCCTGTAAGATAAAAGCTTGCCACCAGGAGGTTCACTCAGATGTGTTAATCGGTCAGTCAGAGAGCCAAGCATGCAGGACCCCAAGATTGCACTGATGTGTTAGAGAGCCAAGTGTGAGCCCTGATAATGCAAAGCTGCCATCAATGACATGATGCCCACATTGGAGCTTTCACAGCACTGCCGTGCCCCTGAGATGTGGCTTCTCTGCCCTCTGCATTGACACCAGCGGCTAGAGGACACGAAATTGGTCTGTGTGTGTGACTGTTGAGCTTCTGGTCCCATCACCAGCTTCTGGTCAGCACTCTCATGGACCTTAGAGACCTCCACCACCGGTATCCTCCTGCCATAGCAGAAGCAAGCGCTTCATCACTTCCTTGTGGATGTGGGTGGGGCCTGCAAGCTCCTGAAGCTTCCTCACTGGAGAAGATTCCCCAGCAGAGCCTCGTAGCAGCATTTTCTGTCCAACCAACTGTTCCCTGCTTTTATATGATAGGATAAGGGAAGTTTGTGTGAACAAACCGAGCGTATCTGAAAGACAAATCTTGTGTGGACATCCTAATTGCTAAGTTCCTGCAGGCTGTTGAAGAGAGTAGGCAAAAGCACCTTGGCCTGTATACTGTCATTTTGACTTCAGACTCTATTCTACCTGTGGGGTGAAATGAAGTTCAGGTTCCCAAGCCCAAGGGGAGCAGAGAACTTACCAATGGCTGACCAACCTGCTGCTTAAACAATAGAAATAGTCTGTTATACCCTTTTTTTTCTAGAATATTATGGCTGTTTTTTTTTTAAGATTATTTAGTTCTGCCTGCATGTATGTCTGCAGGCCAGATCTCATTACAGATTGGAGTCACTATATGGTTGCTGGGAATTAAACTCAGGACCTTTGGAAGAGAAGGCCTCTGAGCCATCTCTCCAGCCCCCATTATGGCTGTTCTTAACCACAGAAAGAACAAATGAATCTGATTGGTTGGACTGAAAAACTCATATTTTGTGTCCCTTGACAATGATGGAACACACAAGGAAAGTCCTTCATCTCTGAATCCTGATTGGTGAAAATTGTAACCGTAACTTGGCAATAGATGTATATTGTTTTTGTGCTTCTAATCCCACTTCTGCCCCTGTTCAAGGCTGCCAGGAGAACAAGGCTCCCGAGTCATACAGTCCTGCTTAGCTGGTGGCCCGCTTCTGTGGTGACTTATTAAAGCCTACAGAACCCGTAAGTGTTGTCTCTCTCCTTACTCGTGGCAAGTCACAGACCAGGTCCGTGGTGTTAGTTGGCATTAGTTGGCAGGATTTCCCAGATTGTGTGGCTGGATGACTGAATGATTTTTTTCAAATGGGAAGAGAAGGAGTTGGAGGAAACCCCTTCTAAAGATCTCGGCATCTGAAAGTAACTTGGTATACTTTTAAGAAGAAAGTTAATGTTTTGTTCAGAACGGCCACCCAAATGACTTGAAGATGCTTCGGAGATTATTTCAAAAGAAGCCTGGGCAAGATGATTATGCAAAAGACTGATGGGAGAATATTGATAGACTTGTCAAAAAGAAATAACTAGCGAAACTTCCCCAGTATATACAGATTATACTAAAATACAAACAAAATGAAAAAGAGTCCCCCCTCCCCCAAGCCCTCAGAACTTGAGTGGTCACTGAAGCCAGGGCGACACACACAGGCCAGTTTCAAGTTCTCTTGCCTGTGGGTGTCAACACAGGGTGGTGGCTTTTCACTATCAGGACTCACAGCGTGGGGCTTAAATGGCTAGTCTTGGTTGTCAACTTGAATACACCCATAATTAGCTGAAACACAAGCAGCTGGGTACACATGTGGGGGGTTTTTCTTAGGTAAATGATGTGAAAGGGAAGACTCACCCTAAATCTGGACCTTTTGAGGTGGGAAGATCCACCTTAAATGTGGGCCACCCTTCTGGTGACCGCCTAGATAAAGGACAGGGCAGAAGGAAGCTCTTGCTTGTCCTGCTTGCCCTTGCTCTTGCTGGCAAGTCCATCCCTTCACTGGCATTAGAGCCTACTTTTTTGGGGATCCTGGTGTGTACTGAAGACCAGCTGAGACATACAGCCTCATGGACTGAACAAACTACTGGATTCCTAGACTTTCTGTTGGTAGACAGCCATTGTTGAACCGGCTGTACCACAGCCTGTAAGCTCCTCTAGTAAACCTACGCCTAGGATGCCAGTCTTGCAACAGATATGAAAGGTCGAACACTCAGGAGCCATGACGATAGAGGTCCTGGTGCCTGTTGAAAGCCTTCCTGACACATTCATGAGATCCAGGTTGTCCATGTGGCTAGCTTGAGCTGAAAGAGTCAGATGGGAAGCTCTTTGCTCACTTTTGGAGTCAACATCTTTACCCTAAGTTCCAGCAAGTTCTCACATTCCTATAACCAGGAAAGGTCCCATTATCCAGTATTTTTATTTATTTGTTTGTTTGTTTGTTTTTGTTTTTAGGCAAGGTTTCTCTGTGGCTTTGGAGGCTGTCCTGGAGCTAGCTCTTGTAGACCAGGCTGGTCTGGAACTCACAGAGATCCACCTGCCTCTGCTACCCCAGTGCTGGGACTAAAAGGTGTGGGCCACCACCACCTGGTTTATTTGGTATTTTTAAAGCAAAAGGGATGATCAATAAAAAAGCTACATACACTATCCTGAAATAAATATTATTTATAGCTCAAAGAAATTTAGTGCTATTAAATTGTTGTAGGAATCTAGCAGAGTCGCTTCATCTAGGGTAGACCTTAGGATGAGTAGTTGTTTCCACTGTATCTAGGGTAAACATTAGAGTGGATAGTTGTTTTCTAGACGAACTTTAGCTTTGAAGAAATCGTTGTGGAGAACAATGCTTGCTTTCTGTGATTTCCAGAGTCACTTTTCTGAAGCAGCTGCACAGCTCCCTAGACACTTCTGGCATACCTGAAGCTCTTGGGTCAGGTCACTGTGTACTGCAAACGGTACACTAAAGAACTGAAGTGCCCTGCTCAGCAGGGCACAACGGGGTTTGAACCCATGGGAACCTGGAGTGAATGAGGCAAGAGACACGAGAGACGCGGACAGCAAGACAGACTTTCTGATCGAGCTGCGTTTATTGAGGGTCTTGTGCAGGCTTATATAGGGGAATGTAGCATTGGCCATGGGGCGGAGTTTGTTAGACTGAGACACTGAGAAATGAGGAAGGGGCCTCTTAGGAGCACGGGGGGGGGGGGGGTCTGATATGAGAAGGACAGGAGATCTCACCAGGGAGTGCAGGTGTTCTGGAAGCATTGTTAAGGGATGGGTTATCTCTATGGTGCTGGGCCTTCTGTGGGAAGGCGCTTGAGTTTTGGGAAGTGCCTTGGGACCAGAAATAGAGATTTACAGTGACCTGGTCCTTAACACTGAAGTAGCAGGGGTCTGATGCTTTCCTTTTGAGAACATTTAGATTAGTTCTTTATCTTTGGTACGGTGAACTTGTTTACCCAAAAGACAAGTTTGTGCAACAATCAATAAATATGCCTCGGTACGAGGTTCAGCTCATAAGAGGCTGAACTTTCCTGCTGCCACACAGGCCTAAAAGTTTGTCGTGGAGTGACCTCTACATGTGTCTCACACAACACAGAACACCTGACATTAAATATAATTTTATATTATGTATATTTATTACATATATATCCCTTTAATGTTTCCTCTTCCTGGTATTAATGCCAATCCCTCTGTTCCCCAGTGGAACTAAGGAAAGTTATCCAGAGATGTAAGGGGATGACCACGGTGATGAAATTCATACTTTGCTGATGGGGAATTCCTGTGTATATGTCAATAAAGCACTGTTGGCCAATAGGGAAGCAAGATAGGTGTGACTAGGAGTCCAGGAGGACTCTGGGTAGGAGAAACACAGGGAGTCATCATGTAGCCCACCAGAGAAGTAAGATGTCTGTCTGGTAAGAGAAATACTTAGATGGGTCAAATACTTAAGTCAGAGCTAGCCAGTAAGAAACAAGCAAGGCCAACAGCTTCATAATTAATACAGCATCTTGTGTATTATTTGGGGACTACAACGTGGCAGAGCCCAGGCGACTGGTGGGGGAAAACCAAAGCGGCTGGCAAGGAAAAGGCTTCACTCTACACTTTGCTTCATATATTACCCAAACTTCTTTCAGATTGTCTGTCAATTCTTCATGTAGTTCTACAAGATAGGCATTACTAACTGACAGAGGAGTAAGATGAAGTTCAGAGATCTGGTTCGAGGTCAGCCAACTTTCAGGCCGTAGATCTGGGATTTGAAATCAGCAGTCTCATCCTACAGCAATGCTTTGTCAATTTATGTTTCAGTTACCACACACCAAAACAGGTTTGCTTGCTACATTCTTATACACACTTAGTTTTGCTTGATTGACCGCCCCCCCCCCCCGGAGCGTCTGAGACATCTTTACCGAGTCCACCAGGAAGCAAGGATTCCAAGGCAGTCTTAAAGCCAACTGCATAAAGCCTACCCCCGGGAAGAAGAACCAGGAGGATTGGGGAAGAAGCCACAGGATGGCGCTTGCTCCCTGGCAAGGTGGAAGGAAGTGGCTATGCGTGGAGACTCTCTCTGCATGAGATGAGAAGGTGGGAGGGGGACACTAGGGGCAGAGGGGCACAGTGGGGGTGGGGAACGGAGAGAGGCGGGACCAAAGGAAGGCGTGGCGGCGTGGCCGTCCTGTTGATATTTGGATACACATCCAGCTGTCATGTTGCCATGGAACTGGACAACAGAAGTGCGTTCCTTCCCTTTCTTCCTCCCTCCCTTCTTCTTTGCCCCCCCTTGCCCTCTCTCCCTTCCTTTCTTTTCTCCCTCCCACCCGAGGGGCTGGGGTTGGAACTTGTACCCTCTTGCTTGAGCCACACCCCAGCTGTCAGCAGAGATTTCAACCCCTTCTCTCCGGGACCCTCTCATGACTGATTCTGACGCGCAGACTGTCTCCCGCAGACTGTCTCCCGCAGACTGTCTCCCGCAGACTGTCTGCACCAAGGCTTCAGCTCGTCTGGCCCTTTACTTGATCAGCTCCTTCTAGATCACACCCTGTGTCTTTGCCCTCTGACTTGGACTCCCTCCAGCAATGTAATCATTAATGCTTTCAGGAAACCCGCAGACAATAGGTACCAGAGCCTGTGCCTGTCACCAACCTGAGGCAGTATCTGCTGAAGTCTCGAGATGGAGAGAAGCGAGGAGACAGGTGGCAATGACAAGCCCGTAGGGCAAGAGCAGGACAGTGGGGCACAGGGGCTGACGCTGAAGAGGGAGATTGGTCTGTGGAGTGCGGCGTCCATGACTGCTGGCTGTATGATTGGTTCTGGCATCTTCATGTCACCACAGGGGGTCTTGGTTTACATGGGCAGTCCTGGAGCCAGTCTTATTGTCTGGGCAACCTGTGGCCTCCTGGCAATGCTGGGTGCCCTGTGCTATGCTGAACTGGGCAGCCTGATTCCCGAATCCGGGGGAGACTACGCCTACATTTTGCGAACCTTTGGCTCTTTGCCTGCCTTCCTGGTTATCTACACGTTTGTCCTGGTGGCCAGACCAGCCGCCATCACTGCCATCTCTCTGAGTTTCGCTGAGTATGCCCTGGCTCCCTTTTACCCAGGCTGCTCCTCCCTCCCTCAGATCATGGTCAAGACTGTAGCTTCTTCTTGCATCCTGTTGCTGCTACTGATCAACTTCTGGAGCTCACGGATGTCCACGGTGGTGATGAACGTGTGTACGGCCGCCAAAGTGTTCTCATTGCTCGTCATTGTAGTAGGTGGGGCTGTGGTGCTGGCCCAGGGCCGTAGTCGTACAGAATTCCTGCTGCTTGCCTTCCACAACACAACACAGCAGGCAGGGCGCATTGGCATGGCTTTCTACCAGGGCCTGTGGTCCTTTGACGGCTGGAATAATATCAACATGGTGGTAGAGGAGCTCATGAACCCAAAGGTGAGTTGGGTGTTCTGCTCTGGAGGCAAACCTCTGAACATCTGCAGCTCCAGGAACCGGAGTTCCAACCGGGGTTCAAATGATTGAGATCATGAGTGATCTAACTGGAATCAAGGCTCCCTTGCCTTCTATACTCATGGGACTTGTGTGGCAGTCCATCTGCCTTGATTAGTTTATGGGATTTAACCATGCCTTCTAACTAAAGCAGAGTGAGTACTTCATACTGTCATACCCCATGGACTCATCTTTCTGTCGCTTGAGGTAGCCATCAACATCCTATTTATTTTTTAACAGGGGAAAACTGAAGTTTGCAAAAGGAATTATTCTGAATTCATACTGCCAGCATTCTTATTGGTTTTGCTGGCTACCTCCTGGATTGTTCCCTCCGGAACATTGCAGTAGATACTTATTCATAGTTCCTGAAGACTGGAGTCACATGAGGACATAGCATGCTTTGGCTTAGAGAATAAACCAGCCATGCCTGTTCACCCTTCCTGTGAGTCTGGGCTGGATAATCAGTGTGCTAGCGGGTCCGAAGGGACTCAGTTGTGGCATTTGGATCTTCTAACTGGAGGGCAGCTTGAGATGGGAATGGCAGCTTAGAGACAGAAGTGCAAGAGCAGGTGGGAGGGGGGAGACAGAGACAGACAGATCGGGTGGTGGGGGCGGGACAGAAAGACAGAAGAGGAGAGACAGAGGGAAGAGATGCAGAAACAGAGGAGAAAGAGATAATGCGTGCTTGGAGTCCTAGGATCTAATCCTTGTTTTTATTTGTCTTCTTTGAGACACAGTCTCATTGTAGCCCAGGTGGGCCTTGAACTTGTGTTGTGGTTAAGAATGTCTTTGAATGTCTGGCCCTCTTGTCCTCATCCCCTAAACAGTGGGATTACAGGAGTTACCAGCATGCCTGGTGGTTTTAATTTCTTGCATATAATTTCATGTTCCTAAGTCTTTGTCTATGAGAAGGGACCATCATAATAACTGCCCTGACTTCCTTACAGGACTCTGAGGTTTCATTGGTACATTCTTGGCACATGGATTGGGAAACTCTCAAGTAAATGGATAAATAGCATGGGCACATGGTTGCCTCACAGCAGTAGAGCCCCCTTTCTCAATCTGGAACCTTGACTCTCAGCTAGGTCAAGAGCAGGGTCCTGGAAGTTGGTCTCTGAAGTTGAAGACAAGCTCTCATGGTTGCAGTGGTTATCAGCAAAACTTTTCTAGAAAGGATCCAGTAGTTAAGATGTTATTCCCAGTATTCATTAGTCCCTGTCACAATTACTTAATTCTTCTTTGGTAGCAGGAAAACTGCGATAGGTAAATATAGGAACATGACTGTGTTTCAATAAAACTTTATTGACAAAATAAGGTAACAGGCTAGAATTGGCTCATGGCTGTTGTTTGCTGGTTTCTGTTTTTTTATTTGTGTGGTTTTTTTTGTTTTCTTGTTTTTAATGTGGGTTTCAAAGCAAAGCCTTAGCCAGTCACTAGAATGCCAGCATTTGAGATTCTACCCTACCTTGTTCTAAAGGGTATATTTATTTCATATTCTCTTCACCTCCATCAGAGAAACTACAGAAACTTTGCCAAACCAGGGTCAGCCTTATATGCAGACTCCTTGTGATTTGAATGAAGACTACAGGTCCCTCAGAGTGAAATCAGAGAATCTCACTGTTCTTGTGGTATATTGGCCAGAAACATTTATGACTCAACCCAGGACCCCCTACCATTGTCACAGCTCATTACTACTGGGAAAGTTGCCTGGGGAGCGGTCAAATTAAAAAACACACTAGGTTCCTTGCCCTGACTACGCGTGAGGTTGGGTCATGCATACTAGTTGCTCACTGTGCTGACAGCATCCCCAAGAGACCTGTGGGAGTGAGAGTACCTTGGCTCCAGGTTAGCCTCATGTGAATCTAGGCAGAATCACATTCCAACCCCTGGGTGGTAAAGCAGTAGCTGCTGTATCCATTCTTTGGCCAAGACACTTACTTGCCTTTGAACTCAGAGTCCCAGATTTTAAAGCTGAGAGCGACTTGGGGGATGCATACAAGTGTCTGTTGCTGTATCATCTGCTTCATTTCCACTAATTTGCAACATGGTCCTCTCGGGAGGGTAGCCAACAAAGCAGAACAGTCAGTTAGGGCGTCCTGGGAGTGGAGACTGGAGTCTAGTCACAGCTCTGCAGAAGCAGTGTGAACACGGACTTGGAGGCCAGAGAGGACAGAGCCTGCCACCGTCTGAGGGTCCACAGGGAGGGACGGCAGCATCGGCTCGGAGGCTAGCTGCCAAGAACTGGACTAGGTCAGATGACTGCCCAGTCTGTGTCTCCCTCCTTTCCTTTCCCTCTCCACATCCAAGAATTTCCAGAAGCAGAGCTCAGTCTTGGCAGAAAGCTCTGGAAATTGTCTTTTCTTTAAGGCTAAAAAGGAAGTATGCTGCCAGGCTTTGGTGGCCCATGCCTTTAATCCCAGCACTCGGGAGGCAGAGGTAGGTGGATCTCTGAGCTCAAGGCCAGCCTGGTCTATAGAGCGAGTTCCAGGACAGCCTCCAAAACAGCACAGAGAAACCCTGTCTCAAAACAAACAAACAAACAAACAAACAAAAAAAACAAAAAAAAGAAAAAGAAAAAAAAAGGAGGTGTGCTAATCAGATATTTGCAAAGCAGACTAGTGAGAACTTTAGCCTCCTTTCTCTTCTGGTTTCCTCTGCAAGAAATTCTCCTTCCCACCTCTCTGAGTCGTTTCTGTGCCTCAAAGAGAGCTCAGCTGAGGGCCCCCTTCTTACTGGAAGCTCTGGTGATGCCTCCACCATTCCCCCTGTGCCACCGCTGCTCTCTGTCCAGTATCTTTTGTCTTCCCACACATCTGCCTGATTCTGTGCCCATACCAAGGGGATCGCAGTCTCAAGGGGGAGGAACACAGTACTTCCATTCCCTAGGGTCTGGTGCAGCGGCCCTGTGGACAGCATAGCTCGGAAGACCTCATTAGCTAACCTTTGTCCCGATCTCCCCGACCCTGCAGCAGAACCTGGTGTGGGCAGTGATGATTGCCATCCCCCTGGTCACCATCCTGTATGTCCTGGTCAATATCAGTTACCTGCTGGTTATGTCGCCCTCGGAGATCCTCTCCTCCGACGCCATGGCTGTGAGCTGGGGGTGAGTGGATCACGTGGTGTGTACCTGGTGTTTAGGGATAGAGAAGGAGGGTGCTCTACGTGGATCTGAACTTGCCTTTAAACGCATTGTTTTCTCTACGTACAAGGAGGCCTTGCCGCCCCCTTTCGAAGTCACTGCCAGGAGCTCTTTCCCGTGATCCCTCTGTTGTTCTAGAAACCAGGTTCTGGGGTCCTGGGCCTGGCTGGTGCCCCTGGCTGTTGCACTTTCGACGTTTGGTACCGTCAATGGGGCGTTCTTCAGCGGCAGCCGTTTGTGCTATGCAGCTGCGAGAGAAGGTCACATGGTAAGAGGCGGTGGGATCTGGGGATCAAGTGAGGTGGGGAGGGCTGTAAGAGGGGTGCTGGGAGACTTCCACCTACGCCTTCTCCTGCCCGAGCCTAGCCTCCCCAACCAGACGTGGCTCTCTTTCCTTCTGAGAATGGGGCGCGGGCGTTCCATACCTTTCCAATGTATTCCCAGTCTCTGTCAGGGTTCAGGGCTGTCGTGGTCCTAGATATGTGAGTGATAAAGTCTACTTGTGAATAGCAAGAGTCCAGCGGCCACAGGGAAGAGGCACCGAGAACACACAATGCCCTTTTCTCTCAGAGATTCTTTGTCTCGGGTGTGCTTGAAACTATGCTAGCAATATTGAGTAACAGACGACCCCTAAGCCTCAGTGGCTTGCAACAACATTTAGCTGTTGCTCTTCGTGTTAGCTGTGGCCCTGTTTGTTTGGGTCATTCTTATTTTGGAATGAGTCTGTTCCTAGTTCAGGGATTCAGACCAAAGCAGAGTTGGCTCCTGGGGGGCATTTCTTGATTCATTCAGCAATCGGGGTTTAAGATGTCGAACCAAGCATATAATCACATTTAGAGCATTTGCTTGTCATTTGTGCTCCCATTTATTTTATTTTATTTTACCGGCTGAATCAAGTGACACAGCCTAGCCCACATCGATGGTTGAAAACTGTTTTCCTGACATAGAGGCAAAGAGAGGGAGACTGAATATTTGGAGGGTAATAACCCAGTGTATGATAGCAACCAGGGAAAGCGTCGCCCTGGAGGCCTTGCTCCTATGACCATTAGATTGGACACACGTGCGTCCAAAGCAGGAGCGGGGACAGAGTGCTTCTCGTGGCTTTTCTACAGCCTCTCTCACACCAACCGTCTTCCAGCCCCAGCTCATGTCCATGATTCACGTGAATCGGCTCACACCAGCTCCCGCCCTGGTCTTTACCACAGCTGCGGCTTTAGTCTTGGTCATTCCAGGAAACTTCAGCACCTTTGTGAACCTCTTGAGGTAAGTGTCTGTACCCTAGACGTCAATGCATCTGTGCGCCCTCATGTGTATGTGTCTGCACATATAAATGCGTGTGTTCTCTTCTGGAGCACCTATGGACATGTGTGTGTGTGTGTGTGTGTGTGTGTGTGTGTGTGTGTGTGTGTGTGTGTGTGTGATGCATTTCAGAAAGCCCAGACTCAGAATCCTCACATCTCTATGTATATTTCAGTCATTCTCTCCGTTATGTTTCCAGAATTAAATGTGGCTCTCCTCCCTGCACATTCAGGGAGACAGATGTTTCCCCAGGAGATAGCCTAAGGCTTGCGCTACCACTGTCACTTTCTTCCTTAGTTCTGCTGCTAAGATAATGCTAAAGGACATTTAGGATGGGCTGGAGAGATGGCTCAGTGGTTAAGAGCACTGGCTACTCTTCCAGAGGACCTAGGTTCAATTCCCAGCACCCACATGGCAGCTCACAACTGTGTTCAACTCCAGTTTCAAGGAATCTGGCACTTCACACAGACATACGTGTGGGCAAAATATCAAATGCACATAAAAATAAATAAATCCTGTTTTTTAGAGGACATGCATGCATTGTAATGCTGGTAGCCCTTGGACATGGCTTGATTGTTTCCTCCTCTGTAGTCTGCCTGGACTTGTGCCCTAGATTTTGTCTTATATGATTCTCCAGAACTCAGTGCAGAGCCACACCAAGCTGCTTGGGCACAGCAAATGATTTCAGCACAGGGAGGGGATGTTCTGAATCCTTCTGATATTTTCCTCAAAGCAGAAGTCACAGGCTGTTGTGACAGCCATTTGTCATTTTCTAAGCTCATCTGAAGCAGGGTTGATTCTTTAACTGCCAAATGAGCATAATATCTGGGTACAGAGGGAGTTCTAGGAGTGTCTCAGGCATCACATGTTCTCTGCTCTGTTGTCTAATCTAGAAGAGGACATTCAGTGCTTGGTGTGATTCCTAAGAACACCACGTCACATGCAATGTTTTATTTTTGTTGTTTTTCCCATGAGAAGGATGGAGATTATTATACAGTAATAACAAAATCCAGTCCATTGTAGGTCTGGGGTGGTGGTGGTATGTCTTCAGGTAGAGAGTGGGGAATGTGATCAAGAATGTCTCAGTGCAGAGTGAGAATCTTGGGGTGATCTGTTCTGTTACGACCTAACACTTTATAGTCTTGATCACCCCAAGAGGTGGCTTCTTCTGGTCCTTTCTTGCCAAGTTAGACTGGATTTGTGTTTGTATTCATGTGTATACAGGTGTGTGTGTGTGTGCTCGCGCGCACATGCATATGTGCATTTGGAGGTCAGGGAACCAAACTTGGAAGTCATTTCTTATATGTCATTTATATTTTTTAAGACAATGTCCTAGCTAAGGTGTCTAGTGCTATGATGAAACACCATGACCAAAAGCCACATAGGGAAATAAGGGTTTATTTGGCCTACACTTCTTCCACATTGTAGTTCCATCATTGAAGGAAGTCAGGACAGGAACTCAAACAGGACAGGAACCTGGAGGCAGGAGCTGATGCAGAGGCCTTGGAGGGATGCTGCTTACTGGCTTGCACCAGCCCAGAGATGGAACCACTCATATTGGGCTGGGCTCTCTATCATCAACTGCTAATTAAGAGGATGCCCTATCACCAGAACCTATGGAGGCATTTCCTCAATTGATAGTCCCTCCTTTAGTTTTAACTTTAGCTTGTGTCAAATTGACAAGACTAGCCAGCACATACAGGGTCTCACTATGTAGCTCTGGCTAATTTAGAATGTGCTCTGTAGTCCAAGTTGGCCTAGAACTTACAGCAATATTTCGACCTTTGCCTCCCAAGTGCAGAGCTACTCAAGGAGGCCAGGCTGGCCGGCCAGTGAGCCCGGGGATCCACTTGTCTCTGCCTTCACAGTGCTGGGATTGCAAGCTCTGGTCTTTGTGTTTGGGCAGCTAGCTCTTTACTGACTAAACTGTTTCACCAGCCTCTCAGATGGAGTCTTTTGACAGCAGCCACCCAAACTATAGACCTAGGAAAGGACAGCAGCAAGGGCTGATTGGGTGTTTAGGGGCCTATATGTTATCAGCCCAGAAGGAAAGATGGGTTGGGAGAAGAGCTCTGCTTCCGAGGCATTTTTCTCTCCAGCCAACATAGGCCTCCTTGAGATGCCACCACACCCTCTTTTTAGCAGTCCATCACCTTAACCACTCGGCCACCTTGTTCACATCACACCCTCTTTTTATAAAAGTCTTATTTTAAAAATTAATTCATGATTTGACTGTTTCACACTTGATTTTAGCTGAAAGGTCAAGAAACAATGATTTTTTTGACAATTTCATATATATATATATATATATATATATATATATATATATATTACATTCTGGCCACCCTCATTCCTCTGCCTGCTCTTATATCCCACCCCAACTCCCAACTCCTTCCTTCTACCAAGTCCTTATCCCAATTTCATGTCTTCTGTTTGGTGACCCCCAGGGTCATCTCTGGGTTTTTGCTTTAAGATTTATTGGTTTTATCGTATATGTATATGTGTTTTGTCTGTGTGTATGTTTATGTACCACAGTCGTGCCTGATTCCCACAGAGGTCAGAAGAAGGCATCAGATCTCTTGGAACTGGAGTTATGGATGGTTGTGAGGCGCCATATGGGTGTTGGGAACCAAATCTGGCTCTCCTGTAAGAGCAGAAGTGCTCTTAACCATGGCGCCATCTGCATAGTCTTGGGTTCTCCTTCTAAATAAAACCAAACGCTCCTCCAGTTCTTTGAACATTTTGCAGGCATATTTCATCAGAGAAGGCCTCCTCTACACATTTCATTTTTTCACTGCAGCTTCCTCTCCTGGCTAACCTCTGGAACCACCTTTGGCTGTCTCCTGTACTTGCGAATAAAGACAAAGAATCTTCCCCACACTTACAAGGTAACTTTCTGGACAGTCACTGGGAATTTTCCAACTAGGTTATTTACGAAGCATGATTTTGGGCCACTGTCTCCTTCAAGGCCTAGACCAGTGGTTCTCAACCTTCCTAATGCTGCTACCCTTTAATATGGTTCCTCATGCTGTGGTGACCCCCAGACATAATATTATTTTCGTTGCTACTTTATAACCATAACTTTGCTACTGTTATGAATTGTAATGTAAGCATCTGGTATGCAGGATCTCTGATGTGTGACCTCTCTGAAAGGGGCTGTTCAGCTCCCAAAGGGGTCAAGATCCACAGGTTGAGAACCGCTGATCTAGACAAGGAATGTCAGCGGCTGCTGCTGTCATTGTATTTGGTAGAACACTGAACTTTTTTGGGGGGTGGTAAGGGTCATTGGTCATTTCTCCTCTGGGGGGCCATGAGGGAGAAAGATGGAGCACAAATTCGGAGGTAGCACAGAGACTCGAAGAAGCTGAGTCGTGGACTCTTAAAGAGTCCCCACGTAGCACGGAAGGTGGCTCCCCAGGCCCAGTCTGGTATTCTAGTAGATACTGGAGAAGGGACACTAGTGACCCGTGGAAATAACTGAGAGCTAGGTAGGAAGGACACAACTCAGGGACACCCCTCCCTCACCATCCCAGTCTCAGGGGTCAAATAACCTCTTTGTACCCTCTGCAGGTTCCCACCTTCATTCCTGCCGTCATGTTCCTGGTGTCTCTCTACCTGGTTCTGGCACCCATTATCGACCATCCTCAGATGGAATCCCTGTACATCTTCTTCTTCCTGCTCAGTGGCTTCCTGGTGTATTTCCTGCTTTTCCACTTCCAGTGTCAGTTCAAATGCATGCAAGCAGCCACTAGGCATCTCCAGCTGCTCCTGGAAGTTGCTCCATCCACTAAAGGTCACTGACTGGATGGTCACAGAGGTTCTGCTCTGTCCTCTTCACTATTCCTACTGGTTATCTGTAAACCCACTAGGTGTAATTCTAGAAGCACCTAGTGCTGTAGTACAGTTGCTTTGGGAATATTTACCAGGACACTATACCATCTCCCTGAAAATCTATTCCATTGATACAGGGACCACCATGTTTCACAAAAGAGCACTCTGTTGTGTCTGCTACAAACAGACATTTAGTTGCTTTTTGTAGCCTAAGTGGATAGCCTGGAGTGAGTCCCTTCTTTGATTTCTGCCATTGGAATTCCATAGTCTTATTTGACCTCTGATGTTGCTTGAGCCGAAGAATTGTACTTCTTGGGATTTATATGAGGCTATGTGTATCAATTGGGTTGAGAAGTAGAGAAGGAAAGCATAGCAAGAAGAGTGAGGATGATATATGATCAGATATGCTTTAAAAGAAGGATGTGGCACCCAAGAGGGGGCAGGATCTGAAAGAGTGGTTTTGATCTTTGTCCTGTGATCCAACTGTTACTTGATGGTATTTCTTGAGGTTTATGTCTTTCTTCTTTTTCTTCTTCTTCTTCTTCTTCTTCTTCTTCTTCTTCTTCTTCTTCTTCTTCTTCTTCTTCTTCTTCTTCTTCTTCTTCTCCTCCTCCTCTTCCTCCTCCTCCTCCTTCTTCTCTTCTTCCTCCTCCTCCTCCTTCTTTTTCTATTTTTTGAAGCTAGTGATTAACCCCAGGGCATCATGCATATACAGGTAAACACTGTATTGTTGATGTTTCTGGGACAACTGATACCATAAAATAAATTTCTCATTTTGTCTCTGGTGAGTTTGAGTGTGTACCTATTTCTTGCATCTAGACAAGATTTGTCTATGGTAATTTTTAATAGTTTATTTATTTGTATTTTATGTACATTGGTGTTTAGTGTGCATGAGGGTGTCAGATTCCCTGGAACAGGAGTTATAGACTATTGTAAGCTGCCATGTGGGTGTTGGGAATTGAACCTGGGTCCTCTGGGAGAGCAGCCAGTGCTCTTAACCACTGAGCCATCTCTCCAGCTCCTGTCTATGATAATTCTTGTTTGGGAAGACTTCAGTTATGGTTTGAAGCTGCCTATTTTTTGGATAGTGCTGTATTGCTAGGAAGGAGGTTTTTCTGGCTTTGAATGAAAAGAAGAGCAGATAAATTTCCAAGAGAAAGGACAAAGGGCTAGAACAGCTCCCCAAAAGGCTAGTATAGTTATGGAACTACTTAGAAATGAGAGAACAGAGATACCTGACTATCCTGGGAAGGATGTGGGAGATGAAGAATGACAGTTGCCTAGAATGAGGGTGGGATTACAGATCATGAGAGCATCTGGGGGTAGGGGGGTGATTCAAAAGAAATGGGAAGAGAACATCTTATAGTTTTTCCTGAAAACTGAATTTAGACAACCCATGTATGGTTTTAATGTACCTTGCACGCATTCATTATCGTTCTATTGCTCTGTTAAAACACTATGACCAAGGTAGCTTTTAGACAGTGGTTATTTGGGCTTATGGTTCCATAGCAATGAGAGTCCATCACCACTATGGCAGGGAAGTGTGGCAGCAGACAGGCATGGTGTCTGCAACAGCTGAGAATTTGCATCTTGAACTCCAAGCATGTGACAGAGAGCACGGTGGGAATGGTGTGAGGCTTTTGAAACCTCTAAGCCTGCCTCCAGTGACACACTTCCTTCAGCAAGCCATATCTCCTAAACCTACCCAAATAGCTCCACAAAGGGGACCTAGTATTCAAACATCTGAGTCTATGGGGGGGGGATTCTCATTCAAACCACCACTCACCCCATAAACTTGAGTCACGGTAGACATGAATCAGAGAAGTTCAACAGTTCCATTCAGTTCTCACAGAGTCTGAGTTTGGTTCAAGCTCCTCCCTCAGGTTTAAGGGTTCAGTGCCTCATGACTGCCATCACTTCAGATACCAGTGATTTAAGTACTGGGTCTCCATGCTACCTATACATCTACCCAGTATGACTTCGGAATAGAGCATTCCTACAGCTCACCCCTTCAAGCACAGTAATTTGATAGAATGATTCACAGGATTCATAAAGCCATTTTATTTATGATTATTAACTGAATATAAAAGACTCAACTCAGAAACACTCAAACGGGAGAGATGCACAGTGCGAGGTCAGAGGTCAGCTCTGGTTCACCGTCTCTCTTGGATAGCATCAGTGTCCTCTGGTTTGAAATACTCTGTCCTGGAGGGAGGTTTGTTAAGACTCAGGAAGTTAACAAAACTTACAAGACTCAGGAGGTAGACAACTAACGAGTCTCTAGAAGCTCCTGAAATTCACAAAATTCCCAAGGTCCCTCCCCAAGGTGGTCAGGCCTGCACACAAACTCCTCTGTTTGCTGAGCCCTCTTGCTGGGTAAATAGATGCTTGCTCATGTCTTCTCAGGGAAAGTCACCCAGCATTCTCTCCAGTACCTCCATATGTTTACTCAGAAGATTTCTAAATCCTGTCATTCAGGAATTTTTATAGAGGTGTCATTAGGTATGAATGACTGATTAAGTTATTGCTTGAATGCTATCTCTTCTGTCCCCTTCCCGGGGGAATGGGTTGAATGTTCTAAACTTTCAACCATGCCCCATTCCTGATGCTACCTGGGGGCCTCAGGCACTTACCATTTTATTACCATATAGAAATATTAAGCATTCTAGTCATGCCAAAGGTTTTAGGGACACTGTACCAGCAACTGGGGACAAAACCTTATTTCTGGTCTAGCACAGTCCTGAACTGTGGACTGTTGATGAGCCCAGATGCTGCGTACAGTTCCATAGGGAAATTCCAGCATCCTGTCTTCCCTAGGAGGAGACCCTGTTGCAGACAAAAGAAAGCTTCAAAAGAGGCTGGTCATACCCAGATCCCCCTCTAAGTAGGTGATGGGCTAGGCTAGAGAAACCAACCATGTGATTGGAGGATTGGAGTGTTCAGCCTAACCTCTGGGGAGGGGGGAAGGGCTAGAGATTAACTTCAGTTATCAAAGGCCAGTGATTCAAACGAGCACATCTGTATAATAGGGATTCTATACAGAGTGAGGAGGCTGCTGAACTCATGAGGGAGGCTAGTATGTTGGGACTCCACGTCCTTCCCACCTTCCCGTATGTACCTTGGCACTGTTCGTGTATATGTTTTGTTTTGAGACAGGGTCACAACTAATCCAGGCTAGCGTCAAACTTATTATACAGCCAAAGATGGACTTGAATCCCTGATCCTCCTGTAAACCATACCTGAGTGCTGCAATTACAGAAGAATAGTACTTCACCAGTTTATGCACCGCTGGGGATCAAACCCAAGGCTTTGTGCATGCTAGGCAAGCACTCTATCAGTTAAGCTTCTTCTTAGTCCCATTTGCACCCTTTTAATAATATAATATAATATACTGCTAAATACAAATAACTGTTTTCTTGGGCTCTGTAAGTCATTATAACAAAGCATCAGACAGTAAGATAGGGATTGTGGGACTCTTGGTTTGTAGCCCATTTGGCCTAGGACCAGTGGCCCCTGTGGGAAGTGGGTGCAGCCCCCCACTTGTGACTGTGGGTCTGATAGGTACGTAGGGCTCTTGATCCGCAAGAGGCCATCAGCAGCACAGTTGGTCCTGAGTCCTGAAACCACACGGGCAAACTCATCCTCTGTGATCTCCTCCCTCACAGATCTCTGATCTGTCAACCGTCTCGTCTGACCTGCTCGTGGCACCACTCCTCTCCTTCCTTTCTATAGCCCCGATCTTCACTTCCCTTTGAGAGAAGACTAACTGGTTCCGCAAACACACATAAAAGAAAGAAATTTTGTCTAGCTTTTGAATCTTTGTTCCTGCTTAGGCGTGGGTCAGAGAAGAAGAAGAAGAAAAACACCTGCCCAGCCTAGCCCTTGGGGGCACCGGTGTGCAAGACGGAGTGAGACAAATATGCAGATAATACAATCGGGTTATGATTCTGAGATGTAACTCTGAGCTCACAGATAAATTGTACAGGCAGCCTCTACTTTAAAATAGATATAGATAGGGACTGGAGAGATGGCTTAGCAGTTAAGAGCACTGGCTGCTCTTCTAGAGGACCTGGGTTCAATTCCCAGCACCCACAGACTACAACTCACAACTGTCTGTAGTTCTAGTTCTAGGGAATCTGACACCCTTACACATACATGCAGGTAGGTGAAACATCAATGTATATAAAACAAAAATAAATCATTAAAAATCTTTTAAAAAGTAGATGTAGCCTGTGGGCTTTCCTAAAAAGTCACTTAATGGGACTGGGAATATAGTTTAGTGGGTAGAGTATTTGTTTAATGTGTATAAAGCTCTGTGTTTGATCTCTGCCCACATAAGGTCCACATTAGTAATCTCTTCCACTTTGAAGATGGAAACTGGAACTCAGAAGTTTGAAGTCACCCTTGGTTATGGAGCAAATTCAAGGAAGCATGAGACCCTGCTTCAAAAAAAAAAACAAATCTAAATGAAGAACAAGATTAAAATTTCTTAGTGATTTAGGATTCTGGGAGGCCTTTCTGCTGTGAAGAGGCACTATGACCATGGCAACTCTTATAAAGGAAAACATTGAAATGGGGCTGACTTACAGTTTCAAAGGTTTAGTCCATCATCATCATGGTGTGACATGGCAGCATGCAGGCAGGCATGATGCTGGAGGAGCTGAGAGTCCCACATCTTGCAGGCAGTCGGAGACTGTGACACTAGGCCCAGCTTGAGCATTTAGGACCTCAAACCCCGCCTCCGCAACGACACACTTCCTCCAACAAGGCCATACCTCCTAATGGTGCCACTCCCTGTGGGCCAAACACTCAAACCATGAGTCTATGGGGGTCATACCTGTTCACACTATTTTTTGTTTGTTTGTTTACTTGCTTGTTTTTCAGTGCTGGAGATTGAACCCTGGTCCTTGTGCATGCGAGGCAAGCCCCTCCGTACACATTTTGAGCATGATAAAATGCATGAAATTATTATGACATGGATTGTGGGCTTTTTTTTAAACTTCTGATTAGCTCTTAATTTAAGGCTTAGTTTTCTCATTTATCTAAAACCTCTGGGTGGACAGTTTTACAAAATGAGCAATCTCAAAAGCTTTCCATTGACCTCAGCATCTAATATGCAATCTGGGCTCTAGGAATGACATTAAGCAGAGGGGGTTGGGTAAACTCCTGCCCATCCTCCGGGCCTTAGAATCAGTTTCATTTGTTTTTTTTTTTTTTCCCCAGTCAGCTTCCTACAGAGTATGACTGGGAGTATGCATTTGCTTCTGTAATGGTTCATCTTGGTTGTCAACTGGATTGGATCTGGGATTAACTAATAGACACACCTCTGGATAGCTCTGTGAGAGTATTTCCTGGCATGATTAACTGAGTGCAGGCAACCCTCCTGCACGGCCGCTTTTCCTGGCCGTGACCCAGGTTTGAAGAGGGTGGAGAGAAAACGCAGTGCCATTCTGCCCCTGCTCCCCTTCACTCCCCGCCGGTGAGTGCATCTACTCTGTAGCTGCCACTGTCTTGGCAGACACCAGAACCCAGCCTCCTCCAACTTCAAATGAAGACTGAAGGCCAGGGACTCTCCAGGGATCCTCAAGGCTTTCAGTGCCAGGTTGGGACTGCTGAAGTTTTCAGCTTCGAGAGCTGGGAGAACTTCCTGGGTTTCCAGAGTCTCCAGAATGCAGACAGCCCTTGCTGGACCTCCTAGCTTGGGCTGTGCAAGCTGGTCCAGAGAATCTCCTTTTAATGTGCATTCACTCCATTGGTCTGTTCCTCTAGAGATCCTTGATGGATA